AAATTTCATTAACTAACAATAATTCACTGTTACATTAAATTTACACAAGAATTATCTGACATTTTCTGAATATGTATGAAAATGTTCCCTGCCGCTAAAAAGGTTAAACCGATAATAAAAAATTAAAATTATCATAAATAAGATAATCTCAATTATAACACTCAGCGGAAATTTTGCCATAAATGAACTTCCTTAATGGATACTTCATTGCGTATATTGAGTTATAACAGCACGGGCTTAGCACTTGAATTTTCGGCGTATTAAAATTAACTCTGTAAACTGAATTTTAGACAATGAAATAAAGAATAAGTTAAAACTGATGAAAAACTATATTCTCATCTCTACAAACATTGTGAACAATGTCATTTACAAAAAAGTTTTAAATGATTTTAAGTTTGAAAAGCTTCTAAATGATCAACAAACGAATCAAAAGAGGATTGCATATTCTTCGCGACAGTTGAAGTTAATAGTATAAGAAGCTTAACATGATAATGAAAACTTCATTTGCTAACAATAATTCACCGTTACATTGAATTCAACAGTTAAACCTGAAATATTCAACAGAGCATCTGCATTGATTTTAGCGATGATCAACAATGGCGAATTTGCGAATATACACAGACGACCGTGTATGCGTACACGTCTTCGATGTTACCCGAGCTTTGTATTTACACCCGATGTACTGTGTGCAGCTTGCAGCAAAGCACACACAATCTGTCTACACACGTGTCCGCGCACACACTCGCAGGGCGTTGATTGCAGGCGTACCTGCGAACGCTGGAGATACATGCACACGGACGTACTTACGCTCTCCATGGGAACAGAGCCGTATTGATACGTCGTTGAAAATTGACGAAACAATATTTTTGACGCTCTGATTACAAATGTACGAATGCATACAGATCCATCGCGGGGCTTGTGTACAGCCGGTTTGAATAATTACCGAGCCGCAATTTCGGGTTTCACTTGCCGATGTATAAAACAATGTTTCGAATATAAGCTATGAAATAACGAACCTACACGCGTATCCGATACCGCAATATAAATCAGTATTCTTGAACCTCGACCGCCCTGTCCACTGATGAATGTTAAATAGAGCCAAACGTTTTAACTGTTTTGAATTTATTAGTTTCGTTGAAGTAATGCACATGTACAGCGACGGAAACAGGTAAATATGAATGTTTCTAAACTTCAACTTAAAATGGAAACCAATAACATAACATTGTATTTTGTGAAGTAAATGTAATAAATAATCATGTCAATATTGTAAATATAGATATGTTCACTATTGGTAAATAACGATTTGAGTGGCCCTATCGTTTTTATTCGTCAACTATATAATGCTGACAATATATAGAAAATGTAATTATTGAAATGTATATTTATCGTAATCATTATTAAAATACTAATTTTCTTCAATGAATAACGTTGTTATTATAAAATGAATTTTTATTAAAAGATAATTATATGCGTAATAATGGTTGTTTTCATACTTCGGAAACAGTTGCCGCATAAATACTGCATTTGGTTTACATTCATTGATTAGAAATGATGCTGTTTTGATAAATATCACATATATTATTTACTTTAGTCTATAATAAATGTATAATATAACAATGTAATTAAATGTATAATAAATGTGTAGTTTTTGAGTAAAGATCGATCTTCCTGCACAAAAAGGGAAGAAGTACACCCAAAGATGATTTAAGAAAATTTCTCGAACAGTTTCTACTAGTTTTCTTTTTCCTTCACTTTTTATGTATAAATATATATTACTATCTATAATATTATAAAACATTAAAACACACCTGGAACTATGGAAAAAACTACCACATTCAAAACCACTTATACGAAAATTATAAAGAACATACTAAACTATAAATAAAAAATGTCTCTGTTCAAAAAGCAATTTTACTGTGTACACTAGACGATGGGTTCTTTAATGTTAGATATGCCAGTCTATATTTAAAGGAACAGACCAAACACGTTGCAAACATAGAGAAAATAATGAAGATAATAGTATGAAGTGCTTGCATTAGTTGAGATCCGTATCACTGTCATCGGTACCAATCGAATACAGAATTGGCCGACGCTTTAATGAGAATGATATTGAATTACCTAGTTCTGGCCGAATTCTAAAATGACTCATTTAATTTGTGACACCAGCGTCGCGACGCCGGAGTGGCCCGATTCTGTCAATCTTAGCGGAGTGTTTTAAATATACATGTCACGCGATTGCTGAGAATAAAATATGCAGGCCAGATGAATATTAAGTCCTGTTGACAGATAAACTGCAACGATATGCACAGATTTCTATCCGATTGAAAACGCCTCGCTGCATAGATCATTAGTTTCTCTGCAATAACTTGTCTACGAATTCTAGGTCTTGTATTTGTCCTTTAAAATGTGAAAAATATTGCACGTTTCGATCTTAATGGCTCGGTATTCCATATATCAACCTTATCTTTCCGCATTTCGTATGCTGAATAATATAAACTATTCTTTTGAGAAATTTCGTGAAATGTGTAAAGAAGATTAAGTTTTAATAATTTAATTGTATTACTGGATTCAGATGAAGCGTTAGAAACTATTTTTGGCTTTACTTCTTCTTTAAGGATAATGTATCAAGACAGAATATCAGTATAAAATATGTTTCAAACGTATGTTTTACTATAAAACGTACAAACAAACAAATTTGTTAGTCCTCTTAGCAGTTTTCGAAAACAAGTTTATTATACTTATAATTTTGTTGTTGGCAGTATACTATCCCTCATAATTTATAATCCAACGATAGTTTACCTATTCATTGTACATTTCTATTAATTTCAAATAAAGTAGTTAGAATATTTAATATACAATATTAATTTAAGCATACTTAAAAATTTGAAGGATGAAGGATGTTTATAGAGCCCTATCTTTAAATACGTTTATCAAAAGGAAACAACGACTTTTATGTAAAAACGAAATAAAAATCTACTTATAGTTGCAATTTCTATTATTAACATTCTTTAAATTTTGCTTATTTAAACAATACATTAAAAATCATTTCTCTTCGTACGTTTTTCTTTAAAAATTATTTCTCTGCGTTGAGTTCAACACGACAATACAAATTATAAATCAGTATGGGATGCATATTTCAAAACCTTTATTTCCTTTAGTAAGATAAACGTAAAATGCAATAATACTATCATATACAAAAATAATATTCCATATAAACATAAAGCTCAGAAATAGTTGGAACTTGAGTTTGTCATGAAAAATAAATACAAGCAGTCACTATGTCATCAATTTTATGGCGTATATAAAAAGATATGCCAGGAAAAGGAAAAAGGCAAGTTTTTATATATTATATGCTGTTTGAAATTCAAAAATATGTAACACACTTGTTCTCCCCACCCCTCCAACCATGTCACTCTGCAAAAACATATATACATGTTAACCATTTATAGGTTGGTGGCACATATAGATGCCACTTTTATTACAGGTCAAATTACAGGGACTCTGTTCACCATTTTGATCGTTATGGTGTTGCAGGAACGGTTAGTGGCACCAATAAGTGCCACCATAAAACAAGGAATCTAGGAAAATTTCGAAAAAAAATTCTCAATAATAATTGTTTCTTAAAGTATTTCTAATATGTATACGGTATACGAATTATCATGTAAAAAATAATTTGCCCCATAAAGGGTTAAGTGTATGAATAAAGTTAAATTTGGCAAATCAGTCGTTTGCTATACATACAATCATGGGTCCAAGCGACGTATTCTGGGGCTAACATTTATAACGACTAGTCTAGACAGATCGTCAGAATTAAATCGTGACGTTAGAAAATTTGACTAGCTTTCCATTTCCGATTTGGCTTATAAGTACTCGACACCTATCGCTGTGAGTTCAATGACACTTCGAGCGTACAAGGAGTCGGCGAACGTACTTAAACATAGAATTGCTTTATATAATACATTACTTCCCCAATACGAGTTACTTACACATTCCGAACAGTCTTATAAATGTTCTAATCTGAAGATTTCAGGATCAACAAAACTTTATCGTCATGTGTGTGCCTAATTCTTAATACATATAAAAATTAGATTGAATCATCGAATCAAGATTCGAAATTAATTTTTGGATAACATGCCAATAGATGAACATAATCTTAACACAGGAAAAAGTATCTTTACCAATGTGGTCAACATTAACCGTTTAACTCCCATCGGTTTTTGCTAAAACCCGATCGAAAAATGTCGAGCGACGCAGACGCGCCTCTTTCGTTTCAATACAGAAACTGAATTTTGCTTTTCTATTTTTATAAAGACAAACTTCAAATAGTGCGATCGTTAGATTTTTTCAGTTCTAAGTAGGTAATAACAAAAATAAAAACGAATAATTAGAAGGAAAAGAACCACGCCGCTTGAGACTCAAACGGTTAAATTAGAAAGAAATGTAAAAAAGACCAATGTGATATATAATTATCAATTATTATGTTACACATTGCATTCAAATTCTAATACACCTTTTTATTATTTATCAAACTTTTCGACGAGCAACATCGTTATTTAATATATCGAATTTATTAACCCTTGTCCTACAACAACGAGTGAGACTCGTGGTGAAGATTTTCAACGTGATTAAACATATATATATTACTCAGTTCATTTGAAAGCAAAGTAAATATTATTCCTCTGTAATCAACTATTATACTTAAAAGAAAATATAGACATAACATATGCTTAGAAATTTTTCTCTTTTTCCAATAAATTATTAATGACAACGTGGCCGTATCGATCAAAGTTATAAAAGAAATCATAGGCCAGAGGGTTAATAAAAGGGTTGGTGTATTTTGTTGTCTGAATTGAACATGTATGTATAGTCATGAAGTTTTATGAAGACTATACCATGCATATATAAAATTGATGCTTATGCATTTAATTATAAGATAGAATATTGTATGAGAATATTGAAGAGAATGAAACACTTGAAAACTGAAAATTTTCCTTTTGCAGAGTCGTATATTGGAAGATGCATCCATTATGTGCAATTCCTGGTCACCTAGGCATAACGTGAGTACAAACTGACATTATAATTTCTTTTCAGTTCGTTATAAATTATAACTATTTCTGAATGTTTTATATTCACTCGTTGTTATCATTAAAAATAATTATTTCTGTCGACGATTAACAAAAAGTGAATACTGTTATAAAAAATTGAATTTCCTGCACATTATCTAGATCACTTCAAAATGCAGTAGTTGCATGTTACTGAATTTGTCTTTTTAATTAATTGAAAGTGTAGTTCTGTGATATTTTATCGATGGACGTGAATTCGATAAGTAACAAATGTCACTGGTAGCAGGAACCTTTATTTAGCCAAAACAATGGAAATAATGAAGCGACAAAATAGAAGTGTCGAAATTGTGCACAGAAAGAGAAAGAGAACAAACACCAAACTCCGTTGCTCTATGCGAAATGTTCCATAATATTTATGGTTTACGAAGCCGCGTAGTTATGGTGGCTTGGCTAACATAAACTCGCTAACTCGCGGTTACGATTATGGTTAGTAGTAAATTGATTATTAAGATATACGATGAGGTGATGCGAGATAGTTTGAGTGCTATAAAAAGAGCCATGGGGTCGCTTACAGTTTCCTGCAAATGCAGCACACAGTTGCAACTGCTTTACTTGAAACTTGTACATACACCTACTTAGAAGTAATTGTAAATATTATTCCTTTTTAATATAAACGTGCCATGCCCGGTCGAATGATCGGATTTAAAATTTGGTTCAGAATTCTTCAGTTCCTTTCTTTCACGTAACTTTATATCTCAATTCTCATCTTTCCTTTTGTTTCTGTTTTCACCAGGAAAAATTTATTGTTTAATTCGTTTACTTGTATTTTATAACCAGTTATCTAGCCGGTTACAGTAGGAATAGATGTATATTAGTGTTATTATTATTATTATTAAAAACATTACTAGGATTTTGATTTAGAATCAAAGTGAAGGGAATAATACATAAAATTAGAATGAAGTTTTAAATTAAATCATTTCACTTTTCCTCTAGTATTAATATACGTCATAGTAACACAATTTAAAGATTAATAATTAAAATATGAAATATTCAGTACTATGGACAGTAAGTGTTGAACAATTCATGAGTATCATCCCTGTATATCACTATAAGCTACAGTAGATGAGACAGTAATAGTGGAACAATTGCGTGAAAATGGCGTTCTGTTTTACAAGAAATAGTACAATATATATAAAATTGTATTCTCTTGGATAAAACTTAATTTTGAAGAAACTCCGTTTAAAAATTTGCGAAGTAAGCATGAATATCACTCAATTCCTTTGGATTCGAATGAAATACTATGCTTTTATTATTAATTGTTACGTTCGAAAACAAAAGTGGATAAAAATGGATTTAGTATCTATATTTGTCTTCTGGTAAATTATTAAGAGCGAAGTTATCCTATAGAGCGCAGTTATGAAAGAAATCATAGAACATCGGGTTAATATTATGTCTACTAGTACCACTACATAAGTTGATGTGTAAAATCAACATAATCGTGTACATAAAAATTATACCAAAATGTAGAGTTCTTTTCATAAATGGTAATTAAGTATTTAAGAAAAATGAAAGAGTAGATAATGCAAATATGATAATATAATGGTGTACGAAAATTCCTTATAATTGTAATAATTTTGGAGAGCGAAAGGTAATGAAATCCGATGAATATCAACAATTCGATTTCTCTTAAAAAATACCATTTCTGTCCCAATTAAGGTAAAAGGTTACAGTTTGGCAGAAAATATTTAGTAAACCATCGAACGGTTCGCCGTCAGTTTAATTTTGTCTTAGGCCATTTTTGGCCTCACATCTCTCGAATGGCCTTCGGGTTTTCCAGACTCATTATCTTTGGACTTCTTTTTATAGTACTGTTAAAAGTACAGTA